GGCCGCAGTAACATTAGTGTGAAACAATCTGACCCAGTTTCGAATATCATGACCAAAATTGAAATAATTTAAAACTATGTCAACAAATTTCCATGAAACTGAATCAAAAGCTTTCTCAAAATCCAACATTAATAGCATTCCTGGAATATATCTTTCTTCTGCATATTGCATAATGTCGTACACTAATCTAGTATTTACTCCAATATAGCGACCTGAAAGAAAACCTGTCTGATCCTCACAAATTAACTTATCTAAAACTGTTCTGATTCTACCTGCTATACATCCTGAAGCTATTTTGTAAACAATATTGAGTAATGTTATGGGTCGCCAATTTTTCAAGAACTGTCTGGGCTGATCTCCCTTGGGAATACAAGTAATAAGACCTTGTCTCTGTGTTACAGAAAGCAAACCTTTACCATATCCAAAATTAATTGATCTAACAATAAAAACTCCTAGCTGCTTCCAAAAGCATTTGAAAAATTCAAATGTAAAACCATCTGTACCTGGACTTTTGTTATTTTTCATGTTTTTCAAAGTTTCTGCTGCTTCTTCTACAGTAATTAACCCTTCTAAATTTTTAGCTTCATCATTATCTAATTTTGGAACATCAAATACATCTAAAAATTCTCTTCTTCTTGCCATCTTGCCCTAGATCTTACAATACTACCTCTAATCTTCTTAAGTCTAATATTTTCTAATTCTTTCTTATTTTCTAATTCTTCAGTATCTACTTGCTCTTGTTCCTCCAACCTCTGTATCTCTTTATTAATAATATCTTCACTTTTATTTTGCTGTTTTTTCCTAAATGATGAATAAGAAATGCTCTTGCCCCTAATTTCCATTAACAATGTTTCAAGAAAAAGTTGATCATCAATTAAAAATTCAATTTCAGTATCTGGAATGTTAATTATATTGTTTCTGTTGTAAACAGGAAGACAATACTGGGTTTTTGTCTGTAAAATAACACTTTTAACCAAGTTAAGATATGCTTCGTCATAGAGCAAAGATGAATTAAGTTTCCATAACCCCTTTCCTCGTTTAAATTCACTAAATTTTAATTTAAGTAAAGGAAATGAGTGATCTGACCTGTATCCCGGTTCAATAATTGCATAAGTGACACTCGATAGTAAATTGTCTGAAAGAAGGAAAAAATCTAATCTAGCCTGTTTCAGTGGGTTCTTCCTCCTCCATGTATATCTTCTCTCTGAATGCATTTCCCTATAGATATCAACTAAGGAGTGACTTTCAATAATTTCCAAAACTTTCTCCCTTGCTCTCTTATTATTTATCGTCTTGTAGCTACTGTCATAATCTAGGTCAGGATCTATAACTAAATTAAAGTCACCACATATAATGAACTTATCATTACCAAATTCCTCAATGGTATCAGCTAAAATATCATAAAAGATAGGCGAATCGATATTTGGGCCATATAAAGTAATTAATGTAGTCTTTGTACCCTCCAATACAATATCAAGTGCCAAGAAATTCCCAGAGCTATCTTTCTTTTCTTTATTAACCTTAAATTCAAAAATATTATTAATAAAAAGAGCTACCCCTCTTGAATTTGATCTAAAGGAATTAAAATAACAATCAAACCCCCATTCATTTCTAATAAAATTTTTATTTTCTTCCGTAAAGTGGGTGTCTTGCAGACAGTAAATACAATAATTCTTAGCTTTTAAATACGAGAAGAGGTCTTTCCTTTTAATTCTATCCCCTAGGCCTTGACAATTCGCAGACAAAATGGATACATCCCCAATCATGTTACGTTTACAGCATTTTGAAATACATTTTCTAGCCCAGCCAAAGAGTACAGAAGTAAAGATGGGGAGAAGAGAAAAGATGAGAAATAAAAAAACATACCATAAAAAGGTCTACAGGTGCAACTGTCCACTTACGCACTCACATTTCATGCAAAAATCTGTACCGTACATGCAGGCGAACAAAAATATTGTATACACCGGAAGTAGTATACTATACTCTAAACAACGAAAAACGGCGTTTATTATTTTCCGGATCTATAATAATAGTTAAAATAAAATGCGGAAACTTCCAAACGCACAGGTACTAGCAACTTCAATAATTTCAACACAACAGAGATAAATAACCACCAATCTATGCAACTGAAGTAACGATAAACCTAGTACTACATAATAATATTAATAAATAGAAAAATATATGATACGCTGAAAATAATAGTAATACTGATAAAATAAGTGACTTACCGGTCTATATTTTTTTTCCCCACTGTATACCATCCACAATTAACTTAGAATAAAACACACACATAAAGAACACACACAAACACAAGCCAGAGTAAGAAAAAAAATATCACCAAGGATTGATCGATAAAACCAGAGAAAGTCCCTCTCTGGTGGTACTGAGTCGTACCTAAATCCACCATCGATCACATCGCTTGCTATTCACAAGATATTAACATTTCAGTCGAAAAGTTCCGTCCTGAAATTGTTGTCCTCCGCCAAGTATTGATCTGTTAATTCTGTGTCATAACGCAATCTACGTTTCTTGTCATTTGACAAAACTACAAAAAGTTTTCCGTCCACACTATAGGTATGTTTGACACTCTTAAGTCTGTAAGCTTCTTTCAATATCTCTTGGTTTCTTCTTGTCAGATCTTCAAACACCAGTTGTCTCTTCCCCTTTAGCTTCCGACGGTTTTTGAGAATCTCAGTCTTTTTCCTCCTGTATGTTAACTTACAGATTATGGTTCGCGGCTTCTCTCTGTTGTATCGTCCCAACCTATGGGCAATGTCTATGTCCTGCTGCTCTATGTCGATTCCGAGGGAGTTCCGCACAAAAGTCACAATTTTTCCAACACATTCGTCCACCGATTCTCGTTCATTAGTATCCTCCAGTCCAACAATACGGATGGATTTTTTTTCTGCCGTGCTGTTCTAAGTCGTTCAACTTATAGTCAAGAGAGGCGTTGAATTTCTCGGACTCTCTCACATGGTCCTCCAGCTTCTCCACCCTGTCTCGTAGAACATCGTTTTCCTTTTCAAGTTCGAAAATTCGTCCTTCTAACTGATCCAACAACACACGGTTCTCCTCCCTAATATCTTCTCTTAATCTTTCCAACTTTCTGTCCATTATCTTATCCATATCAGATTTGGTCACCAGTGCTGATATCATGTGAAAAAGTTCCTCTACCCTGTCTTTCTCTACTGGTTCGTTAACAATATCCAGGGGTCGGCCTTTACTTCCCGTCCTCCCGCTTCCCACACTGGTCCTCGATCCCGGCATGGTTATCAAATCTAAATATCTTATTCCTAAATCGTGCAGGTAAGAATCGTGCAGGTAAGGTACAGTACTAATATATACACACAATACTAGTGCGCGCGAACAGTCGTCACTCCCAGTTGTCAGTCCATTGTTCTATATGTCTTTTCCTAAAACATCTTTTTCCAAAGACTTTCACAGAAAAGGTAATAAAAATTGGCTTCACCGATACTTCACACTACTGCATGCCAAAAATGAACATCTCCTGTTTTTGGAAATATAGCCAAATTAGACGAAATCACAGAGCCCAAACGCACTCCGACTGACCAGGTCCAGGCGACCTTGACCTTCCCCAAACATAATACTTATAGAAGTTTCAAAGAGAAACATATCCAAATTTCTTAAAAATAAGTTTAGACTTCCATGTAATAATAAGTATATGCAAATCGAAAGTGGAAGTGTCTTCAGATGTAGGCATGGTCTGAACTTAAAAACGAAGTTTTGTATGATTCAGTTATTCAGCATTTGCGTGTATGTATCCCAGTCGGAATTTACGTTAATTTTATAGATATGGGTTACTCTTGTGTGTTTTTAGTACAATATTCTGACATCGTATAAATAACATGGGTATCCCCTTACACGCAGAAACCTAGTTTATCACGTCACATAATGTGCAATACCATGTCAACACAAGGTCAAGGTGACAATTAAATGTTAGGTAAGTATTTAAATTTTATATAATAGTGTAAGTTTACAAGATAACATCGTTATCTGTAAGTGTGATTATAAAAAGAAGATACGTGTACTTCAGATATTTGTGATAGATTTTGTACGTCACGTGGACGTAAACTCTCGTCAACTTCTGACTAGTTAACAAATTGCCTTATCACTCTTAAACATCAATTTATCTAAAGGTCTTATTATGTATTGCTACAGGAAATTATAAGTGGAGGTAACGACAATGTAGTTAAGTATATCAACGTACTGAATATGTAAGCCAGTGCTCATCCAGGTGTTTTCTGTAGTTATTTTCATCATTCGTAAAATTAGACTTAGGAAATATCAGACTGAAAACCGACTTCGGATGTTCTTTCTCTTATGTATCTGACGTCAAAATTGATGATAAAATATTCGTGTTGTACAACATAGTGAATAGTGATGAAAACCTTCCAATACTTTCACATGTGCCCTCAATGTCGAAAAAATAGGTTCAGCCGGGATTAATAACAATACAAACGTGAAATCGAAAGTTAAACGGGCACATGTGTGTAGATATGTAGGATGAGTAGAAATGCTGGTTGTTTGAACTTTCAACATTTGAAAATGCAGATACAAACAGGGACAAAGAAGACAACATACTTAAAAATACGAATAATATGCAATACACACACATGTGACCTATTACATAATCTTACTTATTTAGATTCTTCCATACTTACTACAAATTATATTTAGATACAAACATTTAGTTGATTAAGACTGTCTAAAATTAGAGTAGAAACACTTCCATTGGGTGGTAGAGCCAGTCGTGATAATATAATTTAATATAATATTAAAAATAATATAGATTAAAACACGAAGATAAGTTTTCATAACTTTAACATGTGCTATATGAGAATATTCACTCAATAACTAATGGATGATACACATCAAACTTCAGATTTTGCATATTTCATCGTCAAAGTTTGGATAGATTCTTATAATAAATTGAGGCGAGCCAATGTATTTCGTATACATTGGTTCGTAACAGGAATTGAACTAAATTTCTACAGGATAACTTGAATTGCTGCATTTACAGTTTTCATTCTTAGATGCTAATAGTAAACGTTACATTTTGGATGACGTTTTGGGTGGTAACAGTTATATAACAGAACTGAGGTAACATTTTTAAGACATTAGAAGTGAGTACACATTGATTTACAATATGTAATGTAAAAAAAACTATTCTGCATAAACTGGTAAAGAAGACAACGTTAGAAGAGTCTTTTTTCAAGTTAACTCATGTATATATAGTTCCTTATGTAGCATGTACATGTAGGTACTGAAAGTAAATATAAAACACACTCAGATCTATATGTACCTCAGTAGCTCTAAACAATGTAAGATATTTGCTGACTACAGTAATGTAGAGTATTGGATTTTATATATACACATCAATGAATTTGTTATTCAGATTTTTTTAAAACTTGATTTCGGTTAATTTCTGCAAATCAAGAACACGTTTGCTACAAAATGTAACCCTACATTATATGTAGATTAAGTGTATTGATATGTGATATAATTGTATACTAATCATATCAGGTGTCTGATATGATTTTTTAAGAAACAAGGCTTTAGTATACACTAATGATATAGCTTTAGAGAGAGCTTCGTTGATGCATAGTTTGTTCACTTGTGTGTTTGAACTTATAGATCCGGCTTAGGTGAACTATCTGAAGGCACTGGATCACCAATAGCATCATCGAAAGTGGTGGTGTCTTAAAGTACATAATATTCTTTAAAAAATGATGGACCTGCGGGGATGTAGGTCTATTTTTCTATATTGCCTATAAACAGCAAATATGAATATGACCATGACTATGAATTTAACTGAGAGTCGTGTGGCTCGAGACCAAATATAGATAAAAACCACGAATATGATGACCATTAATATCCTCACCACTGTGTTAACAAGGGTTTGACTAAATGTGAGATTATGTTTCAAAACCATAATATCAATTATCAGTTCATAATTGACTGGTAAATATTAACAGTGTGTTAAACCTTATTCGCTTTGCAATTTTAATGGTACTAACAATAAGTTTTGTCCATATTAAATGTTGTTAAAACATTTTGGTGGATCTAAAGCTATGATGTGGGGGTCTACTTTCAAAATCGGCTATAAATAAATACAATGAATATTGATATTCGTCTAGCTTTCCAATAGATATAAGTTATCCTGACCATTGTGATAACAAGAATTCGTCTATACATGTGCATGGACACCTATATACATAAACATGTCTACTGATAACTGTGTGTAAACGTACTATCAGCTCATATTTGACTAGTATATGTTAACGATTTGTAATATTTTTTTCTCTCTATTTTTTTTTTATTTCCATTAGCAATTCATACAGTACAATGTATTACAGATATTTGTATTTCCCATTCACAACACTTGTCTTTATCATAATACCTATTACACATAATATTTCAGTACCTGGTACAGAAATATGATTTATATATATATATATATATATTCATATATCATTACTTCAGGGCACATGTGTAAAAACACATTTAATTTGCTCTGAAACAGAATCAGCACCTAGGATATAACATAGTTGACAAACATTTATAACTGTATTTTTAATGCATGTAACAACTGATAGAATCTGAAATCTTCTCTATTTGTCCTTATTATCATATCTATTCTGTCTCTCAACTCATTTCTTATCTTACCAATTAGAGATAGTGGATTTTGTATTTCATTTTCAAATTTCTTTGAATTTCTGGCCTTCCAGATTAACCACTTAGAATGAAAAATTACAATGTTACAGAGTTTGTTGATGTTCTCTGGATATTCTGATATACCAAAAATCCTTTCTTTATCAGTTAAAACAATATACTGATAATCTACTGAAACATTAAAGAGACACTCATTCAATAACCTTTCAATTTGTAGCCATACCTCTTCACTCAATCTGCACTCACTAAAAAGATGTTGTTGTGTTTCTTGTTCTTCCTTACAAAAATTACAAAGACCATTTGATTTCTTCATTTCTTTCAATTTGTGTTCAGTGGTTATAATTCTGTGTATACTTCTCCACTGAAAATCTTTTACTTTTTTTTCTAGTCTACTGCTGTTTAATGAATGCCAAACTGCTTTCCACTCTAGATTGTAGTCTGTATCCCATTTCTGAAAAGATTTTATCTGATTTGCTGTTTGAAACAATACATTTTTAATAGCTTTATTAAATAGTTTATTTAGTGCCAGCAAATTTTTACCATAAATGAAATATAAATCTTCTGTAATTTTGAATTTAGCTCTATTGTTTCCATTGTTATTTTGTAGCATATTTTTCCATTCCAAAGAGAAGGCTTTTCTTATAGTTGTATACTCTGATATCCAATTATTCTTTAATCTTAATTTTTTAAGTAATTCTCCTGATGTAATAAAGTCATGCTGTTCCGTATTCCAAATATCTTGAACCTTGGTAATCCCACTACTTGCCCACCCTTTATAAAATATAGGACTGTTTTTAAATAGTAGATTGTGGTTTCCAAATAAGTTCTGGTTGAGAACATCATCTGAAGTGGAAATAGAAGTGGTTCTCAGCAACTTTTGCCAATAGAACAGCCCTTCTAAATATATTTCTGAGATTTTGCTAATTTCTAAATTCTTAATGTTACTACATCTGCATAAAAAATAATTTGCATGATATACTGCATCATATTTTTGCAACATGTTTTTCCCAATTATGTCCCAAGATTGGATATCACAGTGAATAAGACGGTATATTAATTTAATTCTGTTTATTGCAATAATGACATCTAGGTCTACCATGTTCAAGCCTCCTTCTTTCTTTTCTAGATAAACAGCTTCTTTTGAAACTTTGTTTATTTTACTTCCCCACAGAAATTCATAGATTAATATATTTATTCTACGCTTATATTCATTTGGTATTGTGTTTTGTGCTAATTCATATGTCAACTGTGAACACAACAGTGACTTAATTATAAGGGTTTTTCCTTCTAGTGTCAAATGTCTTGGTCTCCATGTTTTAATTATGCTTTCTATTTTTTATATTTTATTTTCCCATACCCGTTTTTTATCTATATTGTACCCCATATAAATTCCTAGAACTTTAATGTTGTCTGTCACCCATGATATCTCCATGTAGTTTGGAGGTCGTTGCTTCCAACTACCAATATACATACCTTTTGTTTTCTTCTTATTGGTACGTGCGCCTGAAGCTTTCTCGTAGCATTCAAGTACTTTAAAAAGATATTTAATGCAATTTTCTTTACTTAAAAATAGTTGAGAGTCGTCCGCGAACATGCTAATTTTAGTTTGTAACTTTACATCATTGACTATTGGTAGATCGATTCCAGTTATATTATAATCTTTCCTTATTGAACATGCCATTGCCTCTGCCTGAATAATATATAATATTGGTGCTAAAGGGCACCCTTGTTTTACTGAACGCGATATTTTGAAGAATTTAGACAAGTGTCCATTTGTTAGAATACAACTTTTTGAAAATTTATAGGTCATATTTATATATTCTCTCATTGATTTTCCAAAATTGAACTTCTCTAGACATTTTTCTAACCAACCCCATTCCACTCTATCAAACGCTTTTTGTTGATCTAAGAAGATAATAATACCTCCCTTCTGCTCCATATCTGTGTAATCGACAATATCAGTTAATAATCGTATTGATTCTTCTATATTCCTGCCTTTAATAAACCCTCTCTGATCGCTATGTATAATATTTTGTAGTAATGGTTTTATTCTTTCTGCTATTAACTTGGCTATAATCTTATAATCAGTGTTAAGAAGGGTGATCGGTTGCCAGTTTGATATATCTTCCCTCTCCCCTTGCTTATACATTAATCTAATTATTCCTCTGCACTGAGAAGAAGACAAAACTTTAGAATTAAAAATTTCCACTATTACTTCAGTCAGTTGCTTTTTGATCATATGCCAAAAGAGTTGATAGAATTCAGAAATTATCCCATCACTCCCCGGTGCCTTACTTTTTTTCAGAGTTTTAATGACTTTTAAAATTTCTTCTTCAGTAGGAATTTTATCACAATCTAGTTTTTCTGCTTCTGTTAATCTTGCATCTACATTCATTAAAAGCTTCTCTGCTTCCTGTTCATTCCATCCCTCTGAAGTAAACAGTTTCTGATAAAATTTAACTTGTTCCTCCAGAATTTTTTCTATATCTGAACTTTAGAGACCGTTTTCACATTTCACTGTAGTCCATTGTTTATTTTGAGCCCTAGATTTTTCTAAATTAAAAAAGTAATTAGTAGATCTTTCACCTTCCTCATACCATTGCACTCTTGATCGAACTCTAGCTGCTTCTGCGAGACTATTGTAATAAGATTGAATTTCTGCTGAGATATTAAACAATTCTGTTTCATCAAACTCCTTATCTGTGTCTTTTCTTCTGTGTATATCTACTAATTTTGATTCTAACTTTTTTATATGATTTTTGGGTTTATTTATGATATGACTGCTCATTATACTTAATTCCTGTACTTTGATTTTAGTTAATTCCCACCATTGAATTTTACTCTCATACTCATTTATATTATCTTTCCATTTTTCCCAAAAGTTCTTAAACAAATCTTTGAATATTTCAGATTTAATTACTTCTGAATTCATTTTCCAATATCCTTTTCCTATTTCTACTTCATTGAAGTTAAAAATTATTACCGGTGAGCCATAATGGTCATTCTCAGTAAAGGGACATAACTCTATATTAGAATATGTTACTAAATAATCTATTGATTTACTAGTTAAAAAATAATCAATTCTGGATTGTTTCCTGCCTCTTTTGAAAGTGTATGATTTAATTCCTGGGTGCCTACGTCTCCAAATATCTTCAACATCTATAGATTTGATCAGCTCTTTCAATTCATCCTGACCTGTCTCAGTCATTGAGGTGCAATTTTTCCTGTCTGATTTTATATTTTGTACGCAATTAAAATCCCCACCTACTATATGTTTGGTATTACTGAAAGGTACATCACTAAGTTTTTCACTCATATTTTTGAAAAAGTCTATTTTATCCTGTTCTTCACTGGGTGCGTACACATTTGTCAACCAGAAAACTTCAGTTTCAATTTTAATCTTTAGACAAATAAATCTTCCATTCACATCTGTAAGGCTTTCCATAGTCTTAATATTTAACCCTTTCCTTATGAAAATAGCAACTCCCCGTGATGATGAATTACCATTTGCCCAATAGGTTTTTCCATTCCACTCTTTGTCCCACTTAAATTGTACTTTATTATCCTCACAGTGTGTTTCTTGTAAAAAAGCAATATCCATTTTTTGGGTTGTTAACCAGAAAAAAATATTTCTCCGTTTTGCATTGTTATTCAACCCATTTACATTCATAGAAATGATTTTTAGATACATTGATGAGAAATTTTTTTTTTTTTTTTTTTTAGGAACTATTTACATAAGTAGATAACACCCTAAATCAGTCACATCAGACTAATATAAAAACTATATGAGAGTTTGTAGGATACTTCCCTCTTATGAGAATTCATCATCTACTCTTCCCTGTTTTGAGACTCCACTTTGGGGACTCATGGATGTTGCACTAATGCTCCTCTTTTTGGTCTGTTTCACAGTCTGTACAGGTCGAGAATCATCCTGGTCAGGACACTCGCCCCATGGGGGCTGATGTGAATGCCAGTAGGGTCATTTTGGTCATAACAGGCTCTAACAATTGTACCTTTGTTGGTAAAGCCTTTTTCAAGTTCCATATAGTAGTGGTTTGTTCGTTTACACAGAGTTTTCACAAAACTATTTACACTGGTAATCACATGATTTATTTTGTCACTCTGAACACTTTTCCCTCGCTTAGGCAGGATGCTACACAGTGTAATCCTTGACCTTGGAAAATGAAATCTTATTTTCTCCACTGCTGTAGTAAAGTTAATGGTGATATTGTCAATGCTATTGCTTGAATTCTTGGTAACATCATTGGTTCCAAGATGGACCACCACATCCTCCACCACTGTACTGTTAATAGACGGGTCCTGTTCACAAAGTTGTAGAAGTTCTTCTACTTTGCCAACTGTAGCCCCTGATTTGGATACAATTTTCATGTTTGGATCTGATATATCCAACCGATTACAGTTGGAGGCACCAAGTATCACAGTTGTAATTCCTAGTATACTTCGAGTTTGTGACGACTCCTGTTGCAGAGTATCTATAGGTGTGAGGTCTACGTTCCTGATAGCGTTACTTGTTTCATGATAGTCAATGTTGTCAATAGATCTCACCTTTGTGCTATTTTCCTCAGACTGCAGTTCATTGTGGCCAGGTGCTAGCTGACCTTTGTTTTTCAGGTCTGGCTCTGGGCAATCCCTTACTAGGTGAGAAGTGCTCTTACACCTGTGACACTGCCTTGGTATTGTTGGTTTATTGGGGCACCGAAAAAAGGGGTGATCTGTCCCCGAACAAAAACGACACTCTGTCCTGTTATTATCCGCATATATCCTCACTGTATAATTCCCAAATTTTGTTTCATTTGGGATCACTGTTTTAGCATTAAGTAGTTGAATGTACCTAACTCCAGTTTCAATATCAGAGTCTTTGAGTGTTCCCCTCTTTAGACTCCCTGGTACTACCTCTCCAAACTGTAACATTAGTGTGTTAATAAATTGGTCACTTAATTCATATGGTGCGTCTTTGATTGTCACATTTGTTACATTCTTTTCCACATCTAAAACACGGAAGAATCGATTTCTCACATTAATTCCATTGATGATCATGTCTCTTTTCTTATCTTTGCTGGACAAAGTTACAATGCATTCAGAGTTTGCTGTTGTCAGCTGTATACCTAGGGCCTCTTCAATGCCTGCTAGTACTTCTTCATGGGTGACTCTATATAAATTCCTAGTGTAGAAATGTACACTGAATTCTCTGGAAACCCCTTGATTACTCATCCCCTCCTTCTCTCCTTAGGATAAGTGGCACTAATATTCAAGGTTTGCCAAAAATCAACCAGAAATTTTAGTGAAAAAAACACTAAAATTTGTATGAATTGTCTCTGCTGATTTTTTCCCTGTCTAGTGCCAACCAAGGGCAATAACCTACCTTACGATTTGTAATATTAATTGTAACATCAGTAAGCTTAGTGCCTTGTTTCTTCCACATTAATTGTTGCAAGAACTTTGATAGGATTAAAAGACTGGTCTGATTTGTTTAAGTTGAATCATTGTTTATTTCAATTGTTTATTTTCAAGCCATGCTAGGACAGTTCAGAATTGTCTCCGTGTTATAAACATCTTTATTTCATGGTGATTGTCAATAATTTCGGAAAAGTACATCATAGTCTGACCCTCCTACTAATGTTATAACTATTATTTTTTTGCTAGGAACGAGTTACATCGAGTAATACCATGGATTGTATAGAATGTAGAAAGGTTGGTATTGAAGACTATGATTCTGTTATGGCTATCCGGACGGACGTCTATGATGGGCTGGACTACCTACCTGCCCTATACCGGACAATCATGACCAATCACACTGGGTATGCCGTATTCGTGAATAAGATTATGGTTAGTAACGCATAGCAACAATTAATCAGTCAATCAGGCGCATGTATGACAAAACTTCTGATAAAATACTGCATCAGTCTGATTTTAACATGGAACCCGTGGAAAATTTTAGTTAATTCCCATTGGGAAGATCCAGATCCAGCTTTTGATTTTTCCAAACTTTCTACAATTTGGCACTGTAAGATTTTCACATCAAACAAGCATCAGTTTATGCTACGATTTATATATACTTTTTAGCGATCTATTATTGTTTTCTTTATAGGTAGGGTTTGAATGCGTTTCTCTCATTGATGATGGAGAAACATTAATAGCACGTGCAGCACGCATCCGTAAAGAATACGTAGGTAGAGGGTTGGCCTATCATCTGAGAAACGCCATTACACGGGACAATGCAAATAAACCTAAGCTTATACGTTCGGTGTACACATCTGCAAACAAGATTGTCTTACAGAGAGTAAAGGAAGGGAGAGCTGAACTTGTATTACAAAAGGTGTGTTATTTAGTTTAAACGAAATAATAAACTTTTACATATGATAAAATCATATCAAATATACCTGCTCCAGTAAAACAAACAATATTTGATTATCTCTGAGAAAAATAATTAATTACCATGTTTCAGGAAAATGATATAATTATCAGTATTATTTGTACTTATTAAATTGTTTCAATCAATGAAGCAAAGATCGTGTATTTTCAAGAAAGTAAAGAAAAAGAAATACGTTTTACTATATCGGTGTCTTCTTTCTCAATATAAATCCACTGTAAGAATAACAATAAAAATAAGACGAGAGAGAGAGAGAGAGAGAGAGAGAGAGAGAGAGAGAGAGAGAGAGAGAGAGAGAGAGAGAGAGAGAACAAATAAGCAACAGTTTTAATTCTTTTCAATTCGTATAGGCGATCCTGTTATACAAAGGACTGATGTCAAATATCCTTCCTTCCTTGCCTACCGTTGATAACACCATAGTTAGGATCCTAACCAAGGAGGACCTAAAGAAACTGATGTCATCCAAAACAGACACAGACAGGCTGTTCCCAAAAGGAAGAATAACTGTTGACTGGGTACCGTATCGTCTGTTGGCAACTAACGTTGATCACTTCTTCAACGAATTTTGTCACATTTTGGGCAGTGATTTGAAAGACGGCAAGTCAGAAGGGTTAGAATGCATTTCACTGGCTGTTGGGTACAGCGTACCTAATGGAATTCGATACAACGTTGAACTCTACGGCAACTTCACCGAAGAAATCCTGTCAATTCACATGGCGGAGCATCTCGGGAAGTGCTCAACATTTGGAAAAGAGAACATCAATTTATTGTTATATTATGATCATGGTGCAGACGTTCTAACGAAAACAATGCACCAATTTGGAATGACTATATCTGATGCCTTTCTCTCAAACATGATGTATGGTATAGAAGAACCAATGGTTTCACTATCAAAATACTGACTGACTTATCAAAGTTTGGCCAATGTTTAATACGATGACGTGATACACACATTCCTTGTTACTTATTCACTCAATCCCCACTGAACCTTTGCTTAGGCAATTTTAGTTTTTATCGAAGTAAAATTTTTCATCAAAATATTATCAGCACCTCATTACCATGTGACTCATACAGATGATAATAAAAATTATATATGCTCTCAACATATTAAGAAAACATATATTATATATTGTGTCCATCATTCACTTATATAATGCTGGCAATGTTGACATCATTTAATATGAAGTAACGTACATTCTGTTAGTAATTAGAAGTTAAAGTCAAAAACGTTTACTTAGCAGACAAACCAGTATTATTTTTATATTTTTGTTTAAGAAATATAGTGTTACAAAATGTTTTATATATAAACGATCATACATGAAAGCTCCTTTCACAAGAGATTTTATAGACCATGTCTTAGATGTTATTTTTGTGATTCTTTTAGAAGAAAAAAGAAAACTTACAACGACGAAATTTCAATACAAGTTAAGAGTAAGATATATTAGAGTCAAACAATGGATAGAACTGCATCATACAGTTGTTTCATTCTGCTAATGTGGAGGTGAGCTCGCCAAATAATTAATATGTAATATATATGACTAAGTGGCTCACATAAGTTACCTTTTTATAAGCTTATCATGAAGCAAACGAATACCAATCGTCATAGAAACCATTTACAATAATCGAGAACATGCCAATTTGTAATATAGCGATGATGCGAATAATTCTATTTTACACATCTTGTATACCCTCGTTTTCCAAATCCTTGAGATCCTGAGTGGGGTTATCAATGCTTGATTAATGTTTAGGAGAACAGGCAAACCATTCAAGATTTTGTTTTGCGTTATAGTCAGAGTTTTACCGAAAGATTGTCTCCTACCTCGCTCTAATTATCCCCCGCGAAATGCGTTTGCAGGGGATATTAATTTGGGCTCCTTGCGTGCGCGCGTGCGTCCGTCCGTCCTTCTGTTATTATGGAAACATAGTCAAAAACATAAAATCAATGTTAACTTTCCTTTCCGGACTACTACTTATGGTGTATCTTATTTATTGGAACGTTTGTCTCATTCCCTGATATTGATTTTAGGATATTGATAATGGAAACCAACCCCCTTTTGCGCAGCGGCCAATTTTTTTTGTTACACACACCCTACAGGAGTAACAAAAGTTTCATGTGGCAGACATGTAGGATCCTCTAGAATCGAACTATGGCTGACGTGGACTTAAAGCCACTGTTGGAAGAGCACTTGAAACCAAGGTCCTTGGGTAGAGTTTCTGTAGTTGCGAATTCAGAAAGTGGTGTTTTAAATTGTTATGCCTCTCTCTTCGTTGTTTTATATATCATAATATTATCCATTTTGGTTGTTATGGCGACCAGTAAAAAATAAACAAATAGTATGGACAATACAGGCACAAATAAATTCCGTATTTCCCGAGCTGTAAACCGCACCCGAGTATACGTTTTTTGGCGGTTTTTATCGATTTCATCCACATATAAGAAACGCCGGAATAAAGTCGTACCCTTTCTTACGATGTGGTAACTGTTATGTTGACCAAAGTTCATTGATATAACAGACAACGGAAAGCAATTTATCAAGATCTTCAGTAAAACATTGGATACAAGTTTGCAAATGAATTATACATAAAAAAGTTCTTTATTTCATTGTTGTGTTTGAAAAACGTAAAATAACAATTATCGAACTCGTTTGGTTTGTAGCCTTCATTGATTGTCTACGCATATACATAGGGCCTGATGCTGTATAAGGTTTACAAAACAATATCTCCATTGGTGTCTGCACTGTTAAAAATTAGCGAAGGTCCTTGCATGCTGACAAAGTTCTTATAATCCCATATTATTGCTTATAAGATACACGTAGCCATTCTTATCGTTAACAAGCATGGCGGTCGTTCTAGAATTAAACCCGATAACATATATATAGCTATCAACCTTAGAATACAACAGGCTATTGTAAACTTCTGCTATGACTTCCAAAGCAACTACGAAAGATCAGAAAATGTTATTGTGATTCATATATAAAAAAAGGCAAAATCAATTAAATCCAAGATAATGTGACTTTTATTTCAATCTTGAAATAACCCGGGTACGGTTGCAAATGGCGGTTCTAGACGATCTGTTTCAGTCACAAAGAGGTGATGGACAGGTACCGACGTCTCGTACTGGTGTACTGATATCCTTGGTTCGAATCATTATATTTTATTCTTTCTGGGAGCGTGACATGTTACAGCAACCTAAATTATCAGGGTGCAAAGTCATGCAGGTCAATAGTTGATGTGACACGCCTCGAAAAATGGCCGTTCCGAAATATATAACGGTCCCAAATCGATGTCCAGACGATACGCTACACATTTGTTTCTTTCAGAAAACTGCGACTTAAAATCTGAAAAATACGAGATACAGGATGTATCTTAATATCAAGCCTGAAATACGATGAAAAACAAATAAGAATGTCCCTATAGAAGACATTGTACTTCACCAATATCAACATAATATCCCGATTCTGCACATAAGTCCTATCCTTTAAATCGTCTTTCGGTCTTTCGGGCCGTAGTTACGTTATGTGAATAAATAAACTATTTTTTATATGCCGTGTTTGATCAATATGACACCATTATATTTTTTCTCATCCCTTTAAAAACAAAATAATTGCATTAAGAGCAATGCCCAAAGTTTACACATAAACCGTCAGATTCTAGCCGATCCTATAAATAGTATTTTAGTCTTGCACGACACAGTACGTTGTGTGAAGAAATACAATATTATTTGCAGTGTTTGGTCCAAATGAAAGCACAATGTTTTAACTATGGCCATTTAAAAACAAAATAATTAAAAGAACATTTCAATGCCTAAATTCTACACATGAACAGCCCTATTCTGCTCTATCCCGTAAATCGTCTTGCGCGACCAAAACATCTATGGGTATTTTTAAAAAATACTTCTTCATTTTTCCTGAAAACTGTTCATAATCTTTATAATATCGAACGAATATTTGGTATATAGGTGTGTACGTAAGTAAGGAACATGTTGAATAGGACTCCAGTGATACAAATATTTAGTCTATCTCCTATATTCTCGCTGATCTGAATAGATATATGGTCTACATGTTTATATCGCCAACAAATAGATGGAGACTATCCTCATATGTACCTGTGTAAATTCATGAAAGGTAAGACCTGAGGCAGTTTTACGTGCTGTTAATTGTATGTTACAGAAATATAGATATAAGTAAATACAAGTACATTATGTTCTTTAAAAAAAACGTGATTAACCTGCGGGGATGTAGGTCTTTTTTTCTATATCGCCTATAAACAGCGAGTATGAATATGAACATGACTATGAATTTAACTGAGAGTCGTGTGGCTCGAGATACAAACCGTGAATAGGGTGACCATTATTATCCTCTCCACTGTGTTAACAAGGGTTTGACTAAACGTGTCTATGCATACCAATATACACATGCATGTTTACTGGTAACTGCGAATACATAATACCAGTTGCCAGTTCATAACTAACAGGCAAATATTAACGTTGTGTTAAACCTTATTTGCTTTGCAATTTTAATCGTACTAACAATAAGTTTTGTCCATATTTATTGTTGTTAAATGCAGCACTCTGCTAAGATAAGAATAACCTGATTTCGTCATAACAAATGAATATATTGTCAAGGAGCCCTTCTTAAATAGTCCAGGTTTTTCCCCTGTTATAAATATCTATATTTCAATGTGTTTTATGATTAATATTTTCATTGTTTGAACACAAAATGTTGCTTTCTGATTTGTCAGTTTTTTCTTTTCTTTCCTCGTAGGAAAAAGTAATCTAGCCCTACCCAATTTATAATTAATTTATTTATAATTAATGGGTTTTTAATTATTACACATACAACTATAGTGGATGTGGATGGCGGTGATTAAAAAAACGGATTGTAACGTAAAATATTTAGATATCTTATAAACTATACAAACAGTGAATAAATAGTGAATTTGTCAGGAAATTGATAATCATGTTTCATATTTTCATATTTTTATATTTTTTAACTTCGGGTTTCAATTCTTTCTTTTACACGTCTTCTTCTCAATAACCAGAAGACCAAATATTTTTATATTTGGCTGGTACGTTCCTAAGATGTTTTATGGAATTAGAGTTGGATCCTAATTATGTTGCCATGTTGGTTTTTTCGTGATGTTTTACTGTAAAACAAACAATTAATATAACTTCAGGTAGCAAAAGAATCACCATAGTATTTTTTTCACTGAAGTAACATAAAACAAAATTCAAATTAAGATTTACTTTCCTTAAGACAAAAAGTATTTCTCGAAAGTGAAACATATTTTGCATAGACATATTGCTAAACTATTTTCACTTAAGTGAAATTATTTCCTCCGTAAGGCAAATAAAACACTCAATGTAATCTGTATGCTACTAATCCATTTTGCCATTTTGTTTAATGTATTGTGGGAAAAGATTGTCTGGACTAGCTAGTACATGCATATACTGGTAAAAGACCCTGCCTTACCTTATAACTGTCTCGGATCACTTCTGTGAAAGGTAAGACCTTTTGTTTTCTTTTCAATAGGTACAGTTGTAGAAATTTGATAGATATTGTATTGTTGAGGTATATTTACGTGCTGTTTATTTCCTGTAAACATTAATATGTAAATATCGAGTTTATATTTTGATCTTGTACCATGTCCGGCATATCTCCTTTACGTAAATACAATAATTAGGACCTTGTTAAATTAGTGGTACAAATATGAAAATAAAAACATTTTTGCGGATCTAAAGGTATGATGTGGGGTCTACTTTCAAAATCGGCTATAAATAGATACAATGAATATTGATGTTAGTCTAGTTTTCCAATAGATAAAACTTATCCTGACCACTGTGATAACAAGAATGTGTCTATATCTGAGCATGGATACCTATATACATAAACATGTCTACTGATAACTGTGTGTAAACGTGCTATCAGCTCATATTTGACTAGTATATGTTAACGATTTGTAATATTAATTGTAACATCGGTAAGCTTAGTGCCTTGTTTCACCCACATTAATTGTTGTTAGATGATAGTGATGATCAATAATTTCGGAAAAGTACATCATAGTCTGACCCTCCTACCGATGTAATAACTATTTTTTTTGCTAGGCACGAGTTACATCGAGGAATACCATGGATTGTATAGAATGTAGAAAGGTTGGTATTGAAGACTATGATTCTGTTATGGCTATCCGGACGGACGTCTATGATGGGCTGGACTACCTACCTGCCCTATACCGGACAATCATGACCAATCACACTGGGTATGCCGTATTCGTGAATAAGATTATGGTTAGTAACGCATAGCAACAATTAATCAGTCAATCAGGTGCATGTATGACAAAACTTCTGATAAAATACTAAATCAGTCTGATTTTAACATGGAACCCGTGGAAAAGTTTAGTTAATTCCCATTGGGAAGATCCAGGTCCAGCTTTTGATTTTTCCAAACTTGGCACTGTAAGATTTTCACATCAAACAAGCATTAGTTTATGCTACGATTAATATCTACTTACTAATGATCTATTATTGTTTTCTTTATAGGTAGGGTTTGAATGCGTTTCTCTCATTGATGATGGTGAGACATTAATAGCACGTGCAGCACGCATCCGTAAAGAATACGAAGGTAAAGGATTGACCTCTCATCTGGAAAACGCCATTACACGAGACAATGCAGACAAACCTAAGCTTATACGTAGGGTTTACACATCTGCAAACAAGACTGTCTTACAGAGTGTAGAGGAAGGGGGAGCTGACCTTGTATTACAGAAGGTGTGTTATTAAGTTTAAATGAAACAATAAACTTTTACATATGAAAAAATCGTATCAAATGTACCTGTGTCAAGAAGAGAGCTTACAAAATTTCCGCCATTCTCATTTGCTCCAGTTAAACAAACAATATTTGATTATCTCTGAGTATTGTCTTTTTTGTACTTATGAAGTTGTTTGCAAAGATCGTGTATTTTTAAGAAAGTAAAGAAAAAGAAATACGTTTCACAATATCAATATTTTAGGGTATCTTCATTAACAATTTGAATCCATTGTAAGAATAAAAAAAAAAAAAAAATTAAAGATAACAAAACCAAACAAATAAGCAATTTTTAATTCTATTCAATTCGTATAGGCGATCCTGTTATACAAAGGACTGATGTCAAATATCCTCCCTTCCCTGCCTACCGTTGATAACACCATAGTTAGGATCCTAACCAAGGAGGACCTAAAGAAACTGATGTCATCCAAAACAGACACAGACAGGCTGTTCCCAAAAGGAAGAATAACTGTTGACTGGGTACCGTATCGTCTGTTGGCAACTAACGTTGATCACTTCTTCAACGAATTTTGTCACATTTTGGGCAGTGATTTGAAAGACGGCAAGTCGGAAGGGTTAGAATGCATTTCACTGGCTGTTGGATACAGCGTACCTAATGGAATTCGATACAACGTTGAACTCTACGGCAACTTCACCGAAGAAATCCTGTCAATTCACATGGCGGAGCATCTCGGGAAGTGCTCAACATTTGGAAAAGAGAACATCAATTTATTGTTATATTATGATCATGGTGCAGACGTTCTAACGAAAACAATGCACCAATTTGGAATGACTATATCTGATGCCTTTCTCTCAAACATGATGTATGGTATGGAAGAGCCTATGGTTCCACTATCGAAATATTGACTGACTTGCTATCCTTGGCACGTGTTTAATTAGATTATGTAATATACACATTCCTTGTTCATTCAGCCGATATCATAACCTTAAATTTGCTGATGTCATTGTTACATATATCAGGGTGATATAGAGTTATTACCACACGGTGTTACCAAATATACTTAGAACTCATATAAAAAAAATCAATGATATTTAAACTGAAACTGAATAAAATCAATCCTCGTGTTTAGAGGCTAATAGAGAATATGAACAGATTAAGAAAATTGATAATAAGTGATTGTGTCTATCATTAACCTGTATATTGTTGGCACTGTCTTACTGCGTGCATCATTTAACATAAAATAGCTTACATTCTGTTAGGAAGAAGGCATGGTCAAAAATGTTTACTACGCAGAAAATATAAAATTTCATCATCTTTTTTCTATATCATATTTGCGTTATAATGTCACAAAATGTTGATATATTTAGGATGAGTTTTCATTTCATTTTGGATTTTTTGAAACGAGTGTTAGCATCTGTTTTTGTTAATGCAAAGATTAAAACTTAAAAAATAAAGTTGATACTCTTTTCGTCACATAATTCAGAAAAATAGGAAGACAAAATCAAACGGAACCATTATTATGGCTATATTAGATATTCTGAATATCGCCCAAAGAAAAATGTTCCAGGGTTTAATACAGTTGTGACATATACACAAAGAATTTACTGAAAAATATGCGGATTATGTGATAAAAAGAAAAAAATTAACAATATACTGGTCATAAAAGGTTAAAATATAATATACGTAATCTTTTCCTTCAACAACCTTGTTCATTCAGCCGATATCATAACCTTAAATTTGCTGATGTCATTGTTACATATATCAGGGTGATATAGAGTTATTACCACACGGTGTTACCAAATATACTTAGAACTCATATAAAAAAAATCAATGATATTTAAACTGAAACTGAATAAAATCAATCCTCGTGTTTAGAGGCTAATAGAGAATATGAACAGATTAAGAAAATTGATAATAAGTGATTGTGTCTATCATTAACCTGTATATTGTTGGCACTGTCTTACTGCGTGCATCATTTAACATAAAATAGCTTACATTCTGTTAGGAAGAAGGCATGGTCAAAAATGTTTACTACGCAGAAAATATAAAATTTCATCATCTTTTTTCTATATCATATTTGCGTTATAATGTCACAAAATGTTGATATATTTAGGATGAGTTTTCATTTCATTTTGGATTTTTTGAAACGAGTGTTAGCATCTGTTTTTGTTAATGCAAAGATTAAAACTTAAAAAATAAAGTTGATACTCTTTTCGTCACATAATTCAGAAAAATAGGAAGACAAAATCAAACGGAACCATTATTATGGCTATATTAGATATTCTGAATATCGCCCAAAGAAAAATGTTCCAGGGTTTAATACAGTTGTGACATATACACAAAGAATTTACTGAAAAATATGCCGATTATGTTTTAAAAAGAAAAAAATTAACAATATACTGGTCATAAAAGGTTAAAATATAATATACGTAATCTTTTCCTTCAACAACCTTGTTGTGATTATTCCTGAACCAGAATTAATGGACTACGACATGAAAGGCGTGGGATACTGGAGGCGCCGCCTACATTGGCTACAGTATTTTTTAATGCACTCGATGTTTTTCCTCCGTCGACACCATGCACAAATATAATCAAGGGGACATAGAACTAGACCATGTGATAGCTGTGGCCGGGATCCCACTGAAACACACAAAAATATCTGGGATCAATATACCTCGGTATGTTATTATAAATCACAAGGTTATTGGTACTAAGGGATAAGAATTTAACAAATTCATATCTATTTCATTTACATGATCCCGCCCCTCAGGTTAGGTGAACCAGATATACAAAACAGGATCTCAACTGGGGAACAAACAAGACCACTGTTTATACAATGTTGGTTCCATTTCGCCCAACAATGATCCAAACCATCATAGGGGTCTTTTTTTTGGTTTATTTCCTCTCATCCCCACACACTTTATTCGGCCCACACCCTTTTTTGATTTGGTACAAAATCCGTTTTTTTTTATTCCCAATGATGCTTCTGACGAAATTGGTCAAAATTATTTTGAAGAGAAAAATGAATAAAATGAACGACAAACGGATAATGGACGTCTCACCGGTCCATTGGAATACACGAGACGAAATTAATGTTTGGCAAAGCCAAACGAAGAGTTATTTTTAAAAGGAAACTTAAATGTAAGCTATCATTACATTATTCTTTTGCTTAAAAGAACAGTTGAATTGTGAAGTATTAAGTAATAAATAAGACAAGTAAAGTAACATTCTAAAACATGTTCAAAATATTGAATAAAATCACACTAGATCATTAATAAACGGAATACACCCGAGTTATTTTAGGAAACTTACCGTAAAGATCATTACCAGGTATCTGCGAAGCTACAGGTCTTGACACCAAACACAGGACAGTTAAGATGAGTGACAATATTCTAGTCATTTTCACACGTATATTGAATATCTTGTTTTATCACCGGGCTAGTAAGTAGTATTATCTCCACACTTACGAACAGGTGTTTTATTAACGTATAGCTGGTAAAGGGAACTGCTTAACTTATACAGTGCACCTATTTACACACGACTTCTTAGAAACTCTCATTCATCAAACACATGAGGAAATAAATATCTCAAATATATACAATATTCATCACGTAGGGTCGAAAGTGATTTCCCGGACATGTTTTATTCTTTAAAGGTCTTGTTAAACATTATTTATAAGTGTATGTAGAAATATGCTAGATATCAAGCTACCGGCGCCAAAATGACGTATTGAGAACTATCTATCTTGATGATCTTTCTTAGTTAAGGTTTCGAAGAATAATTTCTGTCAGTTGTCTTCAATAACTAAGAAGCTGTTTACAGGCGGTAGATTTTTTCTTCATGATATCCTTTTTCATTGTTGATAAATTATACTGGTGGACAAGTTTGCACGCCAGTCTGTAATGTATGGCGACAACATTCTAATATGTTATGAGAGTGTATAAACAGTGATGTATGTGCTTGTTAATTTATCATTCAAGGAAATCTATATTAAATGACTTTTACTTGCGGCTCGAGTCTGTGACCGTATTTGTTTCCGCATTGTCAAATACATTTTATTAAGTAAGGCCCAATATATATTGTGAATTACGCCTTTTCCAGTAGAAACATAAATACTGTTCAGAAAAACATGACAATCGTCTTTCGATCAAACTATGACGATAATGCAACAAAGGACAAGATACCAGTCCGAAGATAATACATGAGATATGGTAGTTACTTTTGTGTCAAACATAATACTTACAGAAGTTTCTGAATATATATATAGTATTGCATCCAAAAATAAGAATTGTTAGGCTAAAATGCAATTTTTCTATCACGCATCACGACCGAATAACACTTTCAATACTTTAAATAATTTAATTTAGAACAAAATGAATATGATCAGATTAACATCATTGTGAGAAACATATCCAAATTTCTTAAAAACAAGTTTAGACTTCCACGTAATAATAAGTATATGCAAATCGAAAGCGGAAGTGTCGTCAGATGTAGGCAGGATAAGGCACTTAAAAACGAAGTTCTTTATGATTCAATTATTCAGCATTTGCCTGTAATGTATCTCAGTTGGAATTTACATTGATTTTATAGATATGTTTTTCTCCTGTGTGTCTTTAGTACAATTTTCTGACCTCGTATAAATAATATGGGTATCTCCTTACACGCTAACCTAGTTTATCACGTCACATAATCTGCGATCTCATGTCAACACAAGGTCAAGGTGACAATGGAATGTTCGGTAAGTATTTAAACACAATAGTCACCAATACCAAATAATAGTATAAGGTTTTACAAGAGATAATGCATGTGTTCAACCACGTATATGACCTCGTTATCTGTAAGTGTGATTATAAAAGGAAGATACGAGTACCTCAGATATCGGTGATAGTGTCTTCCTTCTTATGCTTTTATCACATTTTGTACGTCACGTGGACGTAAACTCTCGTCAACTTCTGACTAGATAATAAAGTGCCTCATCACTCTTAAACATTAGTTTATCTATCTAAAGGTCTTACTATGTATTGCTACAGACAATTTTAAGTGGAGGAAACGACAATGTAGTTAAGTATATCAACGTACTGAATATGTGAGCCAGTGCTCATCCAGGTGTTTTCTGTAGTTATTTTCATCATTCGCAAACTTAGACTTATGAAATATCAGACCGAAAACCGACACCGGATGTTCGTTCACTTATGAATCCCTGGAGTCAAAGTTGATGATAAAATATTCATGTTGTACAATAAGATAGGTGTGAATGATAGTGTCAGAATAAGTACATCTAAGTTAGCAAATGTAAACATACTGTGAAAACACGCACTGTTTGGAGTTAAAGGTTATCGGAAGACGATGCTCACTGCGTGATAGAAGATATTACTATCATGTTGTTATATATTTTTCTGTTTTTTATATCCTTATAATCTTCATTTTCGCCAGTTGTCACTACAATGGAGAATGTATACTACCGTAGAGCTACTGCTGACGATTACACCGAGGTTGTATCTTTACGAGATAATCTCTACCATGGACTGGATTACCTGTCGAGTCAATACCATCACCTGCTGGCAAACCATACCGGGTTTTGTGGATACAGTGACAACCAAATGGTATCAGTAATACATTGTATTGTATATGTGAAGAAAGACTCCAAATGTGTCTAAATGTGATAAAGTAACATCTGTACCACCGGTATGAAGACATCTTTCATTAAACTCACAGTGCATTTTAAATAGCACATGAACCTGCATATAACTTGCGATAAGAAACAAAGGCCTTTCTAATGGTAGACTTTGTATATATATATAGTGAAATGTGATGAGTTCTCCGTGCCCAGTAAAAATATCGTGTTTTCCAGTCTTTTAATTATATATATACCAATAATAATATACTTTATTCATTTTACAACAATTGAGAGACAATTTTTCCCCAACTTATGTCAATTACTCTTGTTGGCACGGATAGAAGCGCACAACAGGTCTGACTGTGGAAAGAAACCGGACTACCCGGAAGAAACCCACGTGGTCGGGCAGGTGACTCCATACCTTCAGACGTCCATTCCGGGAATCGAACCCCGAACGGCTTGGTGAAATACGAGTGCGTTACCACTGCGCCACCCGACCACCCATATATATATTAATAGATTAAGTTTTCATTGATAATCGTGAAATGAGTCGCAATGTACAATAGCCTCTCCAGAAGATAAGAAGTTCATTTATGAAATCACAAGAAAAGATTTATAGATAATTGACCGACGGCAGTTTCTATAAACTTCTTACTCATCATATTTCGAAAGTTTGCAAATTTGAGTGAAAAAAGGGCTTTGAACATTTGAGCACATTGGATGATTATATTAATTCTGATATTTATTAACGGTTTTTACCTACATGCGGTGTCGTGCGTCGTACATCCTTAAAAATTAACATATTCGACTTCTTCTTAAAAGCATTTATTCCGATTTTAATGGAATTTTGCAGAAACCTTCCCTGGCCTAATTATACCAAAATGGTGAATTATACAATCCCAACCCAACAGGGACCAGAGGGTCGAATTGGTCAAATTGACTATGATTTCAAATTTCTTCCTCTCAACACCCTAATAAGATAGAATCAAATACTTTTAATGAATGGGAGAATCGTAAGGTTCTTTACCAAAATTGTGACTGCCATAGCCCCAGGGTGTCACATTTCCCCGTGAGGAGGGGTAAAGTTTACTATAGTTTATATTGGAAAATAGATTTTTGAGCATTATTTGTTTAATTTCCATTGGAATATTTCAAACTAGGTTAGATTTATGAGAGAAGGATGACGACATGATGGTATTTCCATATTGATCCTGGCTGACCTCCATGGTCTAGTCGACGGGGCCAAAAAATGGTTAAATTGGCTTCAATTTAAAAAACCTTCTCAACACCCCAAATATGATAGAATCATAGACTGAAGCATCTGAAGGTGCTTTAATTACCAAAATCGGTCTCACATTTCTTCCTGGGGAGGAAGTGTTTTAACACTTTACTGTAATTTTCATAGAAAAAATAGCATTTTTTAGCTTAACGTTGTTTATTTCCCACCGGAAATAACTTTGTAAGAATTATAAGTATAGAATGAGTTTTGATGGTATGCATGTATTGACACTGGCTTACTATATTCACAATTTCTGTTTCATGACACTTTATAACTACCCTTTAACCTTTATTTTCAATACTGCTTATTTCAGGTGACCTTCAAAACCGCTAGGCCTCTTGTTCTTTTATTTGTCCAATGGTATCTCCTTCCAATTGTTTGTGGTTTCAGGTGAGCTTCATGTTTGCTGCTCTTATCGATGATAAAGAGACTATCGTTGTTCGTGCTGCAAGAGTCAAGAAGGAATTCGAGAAGAGAGGAATCTATACCAAAATGAAAAATTTTTGTCTACAGAGTTTTTCTAAAACTGTAATCAGACAATCATCATGTCTGTTTTCATGTGACCACAGAGACAACGCCATTGCTAAAGGAGGCAAGCTCGTATGGCAAAGGGTGAGCACTACGAAATGATATGTATCTATATTCATGTTTTGTATGAAATTTAACAATGAATATATAATGGATGAATTCGATGAATTCACCGAAACCAAATCAATCGGCTATTCTCCAACGAAAACATCATAAACATCTTAAAGTTTAAAGCTGCTTTATCATTAATGTGTCGTTTAATCTAACGATGAGTTTATTTAGCATTGATTATAGTCTCCAGACTCGTTATTTATAAAAAAAAAAATGAAATAAAATATCATATGGTTGTTTAATTGGTTGCATATGTCCAGACACCGTCCAACCATACGACACCGTCCCCTTGTTAACGATAGTCTTGTCTATTATATACAAAATACTAATCCTGACATCCCATCAAAATATGATGCTATGAAGCAATGCTGGTAATATGCGCGATCACATTGCTTGTTGTACTGGTGTATCATCTGTCCATTAACTGACCATGTCCTGTACTTATTTCGACTCTTACACTGTCTGTTTTTTCCACTGTCTTTGTTTATGTCTTTGCGTTTAGTCTTTCACTGAGGATTAAGGAAAAATTGCGTTATCCCAGTACATTGTACTATTTGGAAAACATGAAGGTTGACATGGAATCACTGCCATACATTAAAGTAGTTGATACAAGAAAGGTCAACAACGCAACGTTTCCCCACCAAATAGAAAGAGGGCAGACTCATCCCCAATGCCTAGTGTATAACTACTCTGTTTATATTCGTTTGTTTCAGGCGAGAATCACACTGACGACTGAGAAGCTTTCTAAGCAGACATTGTTCCAGTCTGAATCTCTTCACGTCTCCATGACGATGGTTGATGCAAACTCTCTAGCAGAACTGTTTTGTTCACCTGAAGCGATAAATCACCTGTTACCCGAGAATTTTATAGTAGTTAATTCTATTCCATACAAATTAAGACCGTCTAACATCTCCCATTTCCTAACCAGTGACCGGGCAATGTGTGCAAGTTATCCTAAAACACAAGATCGGTCTCAAATGTCTATCCCTGTCTTAGTTTCTATTGCAAACAAAATTAAGTGTGAAGCTGGGACACGCCTGAACCTAGATTTCTATGGAGATATATGTCACGAGGAACATGTCGCTCATCATATTGTTGCACAGATGGCAAGATATATATCAGTTGATGACGTCAAGATATTTATATTCGTCACATTCCCAATGCATAAGTCTGATGACGTTCTCCTGAAAGTAACAGAACAGTTGTCCTTGAGGGTAATGTCGAGAGGATTTCATTACGGTATTGAACATTCTGTATATTTTGATTGACTGCGAATACGTGAAGGATGTAATGATGATATACTGGACAACACGTGGCTATGACAGGTATGATTGGCTGACGTCATCATATATTCTTCTATCTATGTCAATACAATGTTTACCTAGCCAGTATCTAGCCATTATAACGGCTTTTGACAAAGGTCTGGATATATATTCTAGTCATTAGCTGTCTGTGGATGTTTTTATAATACCAAGACGGTTTTAAGATAGGTTGTAATTAATTAAAAAAACACGAAACTAAATTCATGACTCTACTTTTTACTATTTTTATCAACAATACAAAACAGGTCCTGTGTCTGTTTTATTATATCTTGTCAGTATACACAGAAATATGGTCAAATAAATACACGTCAGGTTGTCGGTGGCCAATACCAATCACCGAACAATTTACATGTTGAAAACACATCTGTATTGTTCATTATGTGAGGCGGAAGTAAGTGTGGTGTAATTTCCAGCCATTCTCTGAATAGTGTTCTCTCAATAGTTATGAAATATTATCCGCCTTTTTCTATTGTTGAATCATATTAACTTTGAAGCAACTATACATATTAGGAAATAAACGTATATAATAACACATGACCGTCCAATGCGACTAACTGTCAGTACTATTGCAGAATGTGGATTTTAAAAAATTGTGTCTACTGGTGTTGAATGTTCTGAAGTCTTTTGTTTCTCTTCTACCACCTATCTGCTTCATTATCTCCCTTGGCAGAACTAGGTTACTGTTCGAGAGGTCTATTTACATGATTTTCAACTAATTTTCTTAACCTAAAAAGAACAATTGACCTATGGCCTCGCAGTGGCTATGTACATATTGTCCTTCTCCTTTTCTTGTCTCGTTAAAATGGAGTATTGTTAGATTCCACCTCATTAAACTCATCTTCCTCAACTTCCGGTATATTATTATCTATATCACATATAACGCCAACATCCTCCCAATGAGAACAGTCCTCCTCCCTCCATCCGGGGTGTTCGCATTCTGCCAATCGATATTCACTGCCCGTGCACGTGACTTGGTCCATCCAAATAGGACCTTTTCCTTTGCCGAATGCTGCTTCACTTGCAACGATGCCACCGCTTTACACACATGAAATACAACAAGTTGATATCAAAAGTAAGGTTGAAATTCGAAAGTTATAATTACTTATCGCAATCGTCCCCGTGGATTCCGATGGGGCACATATTTCATATCACGCTAAGGAAATGAAAATATGAACAAGAATTCTAAGGAAGTACATGTCTAGTCGTCCCGCATTCATTCACTAGAATGACCAGGGTCAACAGCGTCCCCATGGTTCATAATGGTGTTGAGAGTAAAAACATTTCCTGCCTGTCTTTATATGGGGTATTTCATACAAATGTTATATATTTTAAACTACTTGTGGTAGGTTATTTAGACGGATTATCGAACCCTCGGATAGTGTTCGTCTTTAGATATTCACTTACCTGTATCCTAGCTGTCGACATACAACTTCAGCATCGATCTGTTCGAAGTCATCGTCACAGACAGTTCCCCATCTACCGTCATGGACAATTTCGACTCTTCCTTCCAATTCGCTTTGACCACTAACCAGCCGAATGCTTCCTGTTAAGATAAATCACATTTGTTAATCAAATGAATTCTTCTTTTGACCAATGACTGGTCAATATACGAACAACATACGGGAGGTCCGTAGCATTTGGCAAGTGTCTTGCGCAATGACACCACAACGACAACACTATAAGATCTTGGACGTCTAACGGAATAGTGGCACAAAACAACACTCAAGAAAGCCAAACACAATTTCCACACAAAAACCCTACTGGAATCAGCAAAATCCGAAGCAAATGAAGTTTATTATCAATAGATAAACCGGATATAAAAAAAGGATAAGTGATTTCTTAAGAATAGTTTTAACACATAAAGATATTTTCCATTTTCCAAATTCACTTTTCTATTAGAAAAAAACTTTTAAAGTCAAACACTTTTGATGAAGATGATATTAATCACTCAGCATTAAAAATGTCACTTTTCGGTATATACCCTTAATGATTTTCGAAGTAGTGGTTTTAGAGTCTAATTATTGGCCAATTTCTGTACCAGAAACCAATCATATGGCTGCTCGAGAGTCTTTGATTTTGTCATGATATACTTGCACATCCAATGAGGCTGTACTGAGAGCGAAACCTCTGAATTTCGAATGTCAAAAACATGATCATTGTCAGTTACAAGAAAGATAACGGGTAAAATAGCTTTAATCGTGGTATTGCCTGGAATATCAACGTTTGAATCATTACTACCGTGGCATTAAGCGTAAAATGGTTTTAAGTTTTATTGAAAATAAAACGAACGTCACACTTTCATACATGATATCTTTTAAGTTTATTTTCACTTTACTTGCCTTCTTCTAGAGGATCACATGAGATAGAAATGTCCTCAAAGTGAGAGCAGTCCTCAATTTTCCAGCCTGGGAAATTACAGTTTACCAGACGATCCTCAACACCCCTACAGGACACGTCATCCATCCAGATCGGGCCGCTTCCCTTATCACTGGCTTGGTCTAGAACGGATCCTCCGCTATGATGTAAGAAATAGTTTTACATTATTATTTATGTGATTCAGCCTAGAAACAAAATCTGTGAACAAGTTTTTTGAAAAGTGAAAATGCGGGTGGAACGGGGGTAAGCTGGAGATATTTATTATATTTTCACAATAAATAGGTTTTGTGGTCAAAATATCACAGATATTTTTCACAAGTGACCAATCAGATCACAACATTTACATCCAAAGTTCCGATCTTTTCAGATTGCATTGCGGACTTTCGGAGAGAAGATGTTAGGAAACTCGCTCTACTAGAGGCGTTGATTCTGGTCAGTCTGATGTATTTACTTGCTTTGTGATGAGTAATTTTGAGATATGTGCTTTGAAACTATATATCCAGCGGAGTACTGATAAAAGGGCACACATCAGATATAAACAGAGCAGTGTGATAAAGGTATGCTAAAATGTTATCAATAGAAAGCTGGTGTTTCTTTCATCTCGCGGGGAGGAATCTTTGATAGTTTTCACTCCTGCTGGTCATTAGTAAACATCAAAATGTCCACTCTACCTGATGAAATACTACTTTATTCACGAAGGAGCAAAGATTGTCTATATTTTTACCAGCGTTGTGTTGCACTACATATAAATTAAGCAGAAAGACAGGGTCACCATACATACCTGAAGCCCAGTTCTGAACACACGACACGGGAATTAGTCTGTGTCCAACCGTCATCACACACTGACCCCCAACGTTCATCATGAAAGATCTCCAGCCGACCTTGTAACGGTGTGGTACCACCAGTCAGTCGGAGCTTTCCTGGAGACAGAGCGTTGAGTACCAAATCATAGACATGTCATTATTATGTAATTACAAGAGGTCATGAACTTTAACGGTCACCTGATGTCTCCAGGTTCATCAGTCCCAGCTTTGGGGCAGACAGAACACAAATGATATATGCATACTTAAAAAGTTTTATTTTTTCTAAGTTTGAATGCGTCTAATCTACTATTTAAAGGTTTCGGATGATCTGAAGTTGGTGTGTTACCTCCCATAAACATCACGATGACACGCCATATATCAAATTGTGCAAAGGTATTGATGATAACGTACCTCGATGATAGTGAAATATCCTGGTTTAAAAAAGGGAGAAAAGGCGTTTGTTAGACTGGTACCGGAAGTCCATAGGTTGCTCTAATTACTTGTTTTTTAAAACATAAGTTTGGACTTTTGACAGGATTCACTTTTTTCTCTTATTTAGTAGATAATTTAATAATTTTTAAAGTTGCGTTATTTGTGTACATGAAATGTATAATGTCTTAGATGTAAAACATTCATACCTTCTTCCACATAGTTACACTCGATACCAACATCTTCATAATGAGAGCAGTTTTCAATTTCCCATCCGGGAAAGTTACAATCCACGAGGCGGCGCTCTTCTTGGTCACATGACACATCGTCCATCCATATAGGTCCTTCTCCTCCACCATAAGCATCGAAAGCGTTCTTAGTCACTCTACCTCCTCTACAATAACAAAGATATGTTTTGTGTATACTACGTATGTATTTGGTACTCTTTAATGTACTTTGGTACGATTCAAGTTTGTCAAAATATGAAAATGTATTGAGGTTAATGAACTTCATTGCCTATTTTCCCACAAGTCTATTTTTTATTTCCACATTCGCTTTCTTGGTTTCTACTATTTAAGCAGCCGTTAGCCATCCTCGATACTTCAGGGGTTACAATCATTTCCGCTCGCTACACCTCTGGAACATGTCATGACAAAACTGAAGGATCCATGTGCGACACCTTGTGGATAAGACGAAAAGACTAGCCTGACCCTTTGATGTGCATCGAACGAACCCCGAGGTATATTATCACGACTTTGAAGTATAATGTCACTCCTTTGTAATCTTCAAAGGGAGTGCATCAGCCTGTGATGGCCAGGATTTTTTTTTCTCCTGGAACAAATCAAATTAATTCGCTTGTGCCTTCAATTTTGCTATGACATGTTCCAGTGGTGCAAACAGCGATAGTTCAGTCATGGCGTACCTGTATCCGAGCTGTTTACAGACCACTCGTGCATCGAACCGGTCAAAATTGTCATCACACACCGTGCCCCATTGGCCAGCGTGGAATATTTCCAGTCGACCTTGGTAGTCTGTTCGTCCGTCTCTGAGACGGACACTTCCTGTCCGCCAGACCGACACACAGAAAGTTTTAATAGCATGAAATATAATACTGTTGTATGGCCTTTTTGATATGTGAAATTCCATATAGTTTACAAATGTAAAACAGGAGATAGCCAAGTCTGATATATATAATCTTAGCTCTCCTAAACACTGAGCGAAACATAGCGAAAAAATTATTTGTGCAATGTTTGAAATAGAATATTGGTATTAGAATAATGTTCGTTATTTTAAACGGAAAATCCGTCTCTGGATCGAAGTACAGAAATACAGTCACTATATTTAACATATACAGGAATATAGTCACTATATTTAACATATACAGAAATACAGTCACTATATTTAACATATACAGAAATACAGTCACTACATCTAACACATACAGGAATACAGTCACTATATCTAACACATACTGGAATACAGTCACTATATCTAACACATACTGGAATACAGTCACTACATCTAACACATACTGGAATACAGTCACTATATCTAACACATACAGGAATACAGTCACTATATCTAACACATACTGGAATATAGTCACTATATCTAACACATACAGGAATACAGTCACTATATCTAACACATACAGGAATATAGTCACTATATCTAACACATACAGGAATATAGTCACTATATCTAACACATACAGGAATACAGTCACTATATCTAACACATACAGGAATATAGTCACTATATCTAACACATACAGGAATACAGTCACTATATCTAACACATACAGGAATATAGTCACTATATCTAACACATACAGGAATATAGTCACTATATCTAACACATACAGGAATATAGTCACTATAGCAAACATATCATGAAGATCATTTTAGTTATCATTGCAGCAAAATATGTCACATTAACTCATTTCATAAAATTATGAACAAACAAAGATAAAGAAAGTTGGTAACCTCACAGTGTTAAGTATACAAAGCCATACCTTCTTCGGTTCCGAGCCTTTTCAACAACAAATCACGGAGGTTGGGGTGACAGGTAACGGACCAAATACTCAGTAAGGAATACAAGCCAACAAGTGTGGATCCCGCCATCTTGACAGTCTCTGGTGAACTGCTGCCCAGACAGATATTGGGAAGCACTGTCGCCTCATTTGCTATAGAGTTGTATTTACATATCATTACCTACATGTAATGTCGTTTGAATTATATAATTATTATCACATCCGCTACAATAATACCACTCATTATCTCGTCCTAAATATCTAGTCTGACAATCTGTTCAGCATGTTACTCGTCCACATCGTTTAATGTCGCTTGCAGTATTATGTTTAGAAGCATAACGCTGTACTATCGTTGATTTCTCGATCTAAGCATCATTATCTACTGCCTGTTATAAATTAGAAGTTTAAAATTGTGTAAGTATCTTTCAATGGCTTGCTTTTGAATTTAGTTAAATGGTTTACACTGAAAAATTTCAATAAAAACATGAATACACATCCTTGCATCATGCCTTGACCACGGTAAAACAGTTTGTTGTGTGGATGCTGTACAAGATTACTTTTAATGAAACTTTTAATTAAAGGGTTTGCAGAATTTATCTGAGCCTCAAAAGAAAGAAACTGAGTCCTGGTCCCATCTACTGCCAGTCTTTCCCTAGGGAATCTAGAGAGCTGTTACAACCGAGGTACATTGTAAATATGGATGTGTTGGGTTTTATACAACAATTTTCAAACTGTTAAGAAAGTTTGATAACCTTTTGATAGTAACGAATATATGTATGTTGTGCAGTACAGGTAACAGATATTGTCAAGAATGGAATGGGAAAAAAACAATGCAACAACATTAATTTTTACAAAACCTATTAAATGATAAGTACTTAATGCACTGTCGTTTTTCAACAAAAACTTTGAAACAATCATATCCAGCGTTTCAGGTCATGATTTGCATACATTATCATCACCAGAGCTTAAGCATATCTCAATATTGAAATTACATCCATTAAAACAGTGTAATTTGACCAAATTACATCCAGCTCAATTACACGCACTGGGAAGTTACAAAATGGCGAACTACAAATGAAATTTTAGGAAACCCACACCTCAATGTAATTACGGAGGTATGTAGGTTAGGACAGGAAAGGTCATTTGTATCTTTATTCTGACGGAAATACTAGTACGATAAACTAATCTATGAATCTAGTATTGAAGCATTACGTTTACCATCGGTTAGTTCTTTAATATCAGCGACCAAAATTAAACCAGAGAGAATTTTTTTTGTATATATCCAAGTTACTTTTCTGTCCATAGAAACGCAGGTACACTTTACGACAGACAATTACATTTTGTATTCAATTCTTTAACAACTGTATAGTCTTTAATAACCTATATAATAGTAGAAACATTGATCAGACAGTGTTAATCCCGCATGATTTGTCGTTTGTCTAGCGATTCATTCTGGTATAACTTCAAACATAATCCAGTAGAATGAAAACAGCTGTCATGTGGTCGAGACCAAGTGCTTTTACTATAGGTGGGTTTGTCTTTGTCATTATAGTACAGGATGGACACTTTGAGTTATGTAAAAGCCAAGTTCATGATAAGATGGTGTTAATGCAGAACATTCATCTTCATATTTATAAATGGTGTTGAGGTCATAATCTACATTTTAAATATAATAAGACCTATGTGTAACAGGGCAAGTCATTACCAAAATAAGACACTACATCTCAGACCTGTGTGTAACAGGGCAAGATGTTACCGAAATAATACACTACATCTCAGACCTATGTGTAACAGGGAAAATCAAAACCAAAATAAGACACTACAGCTCAGACCTGTGTGTAACAGGGCAAGTCATCACCAAAACAAGACACTACATCTCAGACCTGTGTGTAACAGGGCGAGTCAATACCAAAATAAGACACTACATCTCAGACCTGTGTGTAACAGGGCAAGTTGTTACCAAAATAAGACACTACATCTCAGACCTGTGTGTACCAGGGCAAGTCATCACCAAAATAAGACACTACATCTCAGACCTGTGTGTAACAGGGCAAGATGTTACCGAAATAATACACTACATCTCAGACCTGTGTGTAACAGGGCAAGACGTTACCAAAATAAGGCAGTGCATCTCAGATCTGTGTGTAACAGGGCGAGTCAATACCAAAATAAGACACTACATCTCAGACCTGTGTGTAACAGGGCAAGTTGTTACCAAAATAAGACACTACATCTCAGACCTGTGTGTACCAGGGCAAGTCATTACCAAAATAAGGCCCTACATCTCAGACCTGTGTGTACCAGGGCAAGTCATTACCAAAATAAGACACTACATCACAGATCTGTGTGTACCAGGGCAAGTCATTACCAAAATAAGGCACTACATCTCAGACCTGTGTGTACCAGGGCAAGTCATTACCAAAATAAGACACTACATCACAGATCTGTGTGTACCAGGGCAAGTCATTACCAAAATAAGGCACTACATCTCAGACCTGTGTGTAACAGGGCAAGATGTTACCAAAATAAGACACTACATCTCAGATCTGTGTGTAACAGGGCAAGACGTTACCAAAATAAGACACTACATCTCATACCTGTGTGTAACAGGGCAAGTTGTTACCAAAATAAGACACTACATCACAGATCTGTGTGTACCAGGGCAAGTCATTACCAAAATAAGGCACTACATCTCAGACCTGTGTGTAACAGGGCAAGACGTCACCAAAATAAGGCACTACATCTCAGACCTGTGTGTAACAGGGCAAGACGTCACCAAAATAAGACACTACATCTCAGACCTATGTATAACAGGGCAAGTTGTTACCAAAATAAGACACTACATCTCAGACCTGTGTGTAAGAGTCCTATGAAAATGAAGGAAAAATCAACACAACACAATGAAACATTTAACAGTTTATCACCGAAAAATGCATTGGAATTAGAGGCATAATTACAGAAGAAAATGTTTGTATACTATGATGTATAAATAGAATTTCCTAACATATGAAGTAAATTAGAAATACAATGTTTCAAATGACGGACATACATGTCAGTAAAAATATGTTGATAACACTTTATAATAGCTTAATAGACTAAATTACCACTATAGACTCGTCACATCATTCATATGTATACTGGCTACATCCTAACATGTTAGATGGTTATTAGAATGTAACAACTGACCCTTGTGAACTACGAAATTCATTGACACAAAACTGATCCACTTCTCACTGGTAGATGATGTATGGTTTAAGGGAGTCAGAATGTGGAAAGTTAATGGTGGACAGGAGCATATCAGTTTACTTCAGACAAATCGCTAAAAAATTATGTAAAGTATGAATTCATATGAATTTATTTCAAGGGAGATAACATTAAGTAAGGACATTCACAAACCTTGTAAAAATAAGTGTCATCTACTGTCATCACCATGAACGTCACTTTATATTTTATCTTTTTATTATTTTATAAGATTTACAGATAACAACTTAAAAGAAAATGATATGAACAAATTAACACCGATATACATGTATGAAGAACATCACAGATTGAGGAGCTTGAGTTAGATACAATATGACCTTGACTCGATGTTTTGTGATATTCCAATCTGTAACTGAATTTTCATAAAAAAAATATAAGCTGATCCACTTCAGATAAATATTTTCAGCAAACTAGATTTTGAAATGGGTTTTTCACAATGGAACAGCATTCAGAAAAGAAAAATAACACAACCTAGTTAAATTGAAAAGATTGAACATGTGAGGACTTGCTTCATGTAGATTCAAGGTCAGTGTCACCCATGAGGTCAGAGATGAAGGCATCCCAAACTAATGAGGAGTTGCATAATTTGACATGTTCTGAATTTTCTCTCCACCCATAAACAAGAATTCAATGGAAGTGGATGTGTCGCCTGCCAAGCAAGGTCTCTGGAGATGGGTTTTATGGAACAATAGACATAGATATTCATTGTATTTATTTCATTTATATAATTTGTCCATTTGTTCAAGATGTGATGAGTAAACTTACAGATTAGATGTATAGTGTTGAAGGGAATTGAATCCCCAAGAAAGATCCATATATCACAATTATGCCCAGAATTAGAATTTTTAAAAAAATTCTGATTTGCTCCAAATACGGCAGGATAAAGAACAACCTACCTGAAAATAATTTCAAACAAGCCCCTTTGATTAAGAAGCTTTGTATGAAGTTTGAGTCTTATTTTAAAAAGAAAACTCAAGTAATCACATAAAACCATTTTGTTGGTTTTTTTTTTTTTTTTTTACAGTTTTGACCTTTTGATCTGAAAAGCAATCAGAAGCAAGCACTATTGATAAGGAAGCACTATGGTAAGTTTGAGGTAGATTGGTCGAAGTGTACTTAAGCTTTTGCGAAAAAAACAATTTCCTATTTTAGTTTTGGTAAGAATACACTTTATGATTGGCAAATGGGAACTGGAGTTATTGCGAAAAACCTAATTTTCTATTTATAGTAACAGTGACCACAACATTAGACCTTGAGATCTGAAAAGAAATCCCAAGTGTAAGCACTTCATGAAGTTTGAGTTTGATCGGCAAAGGTGAACTTAAGTTATCGTAAAAAAAAACCCCTCTGTGTGAATGAGAGCGCTGCTGCTGCCTACACTGCCGACATAGTAATACCTATACGTCGCCTTGGCAGACAGGCAACACAAAAAGAAGGTGCATCCAAATGAGAGGTCATGTGTCAGAGGTTAGAGGCCATGTATATCACATACTGCTGACAGAGGAAGAGCCAGAACTTGACCTGTCCTGACTTTCCTCTTGACGACAGAAGGCAGACCCAAATGACTGATTGGAGGGGCAGTAACAGATGTCTCTTGTGTTGTAATCCTGGTCTTTGAGACCTTGGCGGGGATAGGTAGGTCCACGCCCATCAGTTGATGATGAAGTAGTCTGGTAACTTACCTGTAATTATCAATTTCAGCAGATTTGAAATTTAAACAATATCTTATATTCAATATAAAAGCAGATATTCTGTTTTGATCATTAATCAGTATAATTGGTCTTTGTATCCTTGGTAGTGATAGATAAGTCCAGCACCATCAGTTGACAA